TCAGACGTCATTTCAATCAGAAGTGACATTTTAATGCTACAATTTATAGAAAACTAGCAGACCCGGCGAATTTCGTCCCGCCCAAAACTGAGTTTTGGTTTTAAACAATTTTGAACATTCACTATTCCGTCCTATTTTTTTTATCGAACATTCGCGTCCCTATGTATGCCACTCTGTTTAATATGTTAAGAAGAAGAGAAGATAGTTTCCCGTATTTTTCAAGTTGTCTTTAAAATTTTCAATTTTTCTTGTCGTAAAATTGTTCCTTGGGCAAAAAAAGACAGCTCAAATCGGACGATCCGTTCTTGAGTTATGCGCGATCTTATGTATGCCACTCTGTTTTTTAAATGTTGGCAGGCCAAAACGATTGTAAAACCTTCAAAATGGCTTAAATACACTATGAATTGCTACAAATTTAAATAAGTGTGGCAGTTTTTGACCCTAGGGCCTATCTAAAATTTGAAACAAATTTCCAATGTTTTATTTGCGTAGATAAATGACAAAATCTATGTTCCAACCATGCATCGAAATAAATTTAGAAAAGAATTAATAAACTTGAACATTAGGATAGGGACAATTAGAGGACCATAGGGGCCAAATACTGGCTAATTAACCCTTCATGCCTGAAACCCGAAAAAAATGGCATTGAAGCGTCCAAATAGCTAAACAACGTCGAAATAGTAAAAATGCCAAACAGGTTACAATACATAGAACCGAGAAACTACGCTAAAAGTCAAAATCAGTCAAAACACTGAAAACACATCATGAAGCTTGAGTAGCCATAAAACAATCAATAAGTATTAGCACTTAAATTGGAATAGAAAATGACCTGGCTTATAAAACCATTAATCATCCTGAAAACTCTCAAAATAATATTGAAAATTCCAAATTGGCTAAGAATTACAAAAATTACTTTAAAACGCCTAAAAATATCTTAAGAAAGGCAAAAAAATGACCTTTAACTCGTAAAACAGACTGAAAAACTCTTGTAGTTTTCTTGAAAACCGCATCTCTGATAAAAATCTAGAAACTTTATAATTATCTTTAAGACGCTAAATCTAAAAAGTCTTGAATGATTACGTCAAATAAATGAACCCAATCACAGAGATGACATAAATTATTGTGAACCGCCAAAATATTAAAGTGTGCAGGATTCCGGTAAGAAGTTTAAATCTTATTCAAATTACTCTTCTGCCTATAATCGCAAGTCAGTCCCATCTGTAAAAAACTGAAAATGAGAAAACGGCGTTCAAAGCTTTTACAGGTTTTCTGATTTTTAAGACATCAATATATTCCGTAATGAAATACACATATTCTACATATGGTGCAAAAAAAGTCTACTAGAATTGAATGTAAAAAAATGTAACTTAATATCATTTAGCAGGAAAAGAACAACTTCAAATATTTCAATTGCACTAGGAAATCAAAATGTAGAAAAATGTGAAAGAGTTATGGATTTAGGAATTATCTTAGACTCTAAACTAACTTTCATAGACCATTACAACACAATTATTCACAGGCAAATAACATGCTAGGCTTTATCAAGCGCTTTGCTATAACTTTCAGGACCCATACACTATTAAAACACTATAAAGGGTGATACGGTCAAAATTTGGTCAAGGGAAAACGCGTGTAAATCGGTGAAATCGTTTATTTAAAAAATCAAATTAAATTTCTTTTTCAAGTTCAATTAGTATAAAATTCAGGAAAAATATTCAGTTAGGCTTCCGCTTTTCCAAATCCGAATTGCCGGGCCTTACGCTTGACCCCTACCATCAGATTTAGTACAGCCACCTTGTCCACCTTCTTCGCCGCAGAAAGCCAGTTTGCCTTGAACTGCTGCTCGCCCTTAGCAGTTTTTTTGGTCTTCTTTAGGTTCCGCTTGACAATAGCCCAGTATTTCTCAATTGGGCGGAGCTCTGGCGTGTTGGGAGGGTTCTTGTCCTTGGGAACCACCTGCACGTTGTTGGCGGCGTACCACTCCATGGCCTTTTTACCGTAATGGCAAGATGCCAAATCTGGCCAAAACAGTACGGAACAACCGTGTTTCTTCAGGAAAGGCAGCAGACGTTTATTCAAACACTCTTTCACGTAAATTTCTTGGTTGACAGTCCCGGAAGCTATGAAAATGCTGCTTTTCAAGCCACAGGTACAGATGGCTTGCCAAACCAGATATTTCTTTGCGAACTTTGACAGTTTCATGTGCTTGAAAACATCTGCTACCTTTCCCCTTCCTTTTGCCGTATAAAACTCCTGTCCCGGAAGCTGCTTGTAGTCGGCTTTGACGTAGGTTTCGTCGTCCATTACCACGCAGTCAAACTTCGTCAGCATCGTCGTGTACAGCCTCCGGGATCGCGCTTTGGCCGTCGTATTTTGTTTATCATCGCGATTTGGAGTCACTACCTTCTTGTAAGTCGATAGTCCGGCTCGTTTTTTGGCTCGATGCATGGTTGTAGACGATACACCCAGCTTATTTGCGGCATCTCGGAGAGAGAGGTTAGGGTTTTGCTTGAAACTACCGGCAACTCTCTTTGTCGTCTCAGCGGCTTCCGGTTTTCGATTTCCCCCCGATCCAGACTTCCTGGCTGTCGACAAACGTTCCCCAAACACTTTAATTACATTTGTAACGGTTGATTTGGCAACTTTTAGCGATTTTGCCAACTTTGCGTGCGAGTAGCTCGGATTTTCGCGATGCGCGAGCAAAATTTTGATACGCTGCTCTTCTTGCTTGGACGGCATTTTGACAACTGAAGAGTGAATTCCAAAATCAAAATAGGAGCAACATTCTACACACACACACCTTCAAAATGAGGGGTGTTCAGGTTTTTTAAATGCAAAATTGAAAGAAATACGTCAAGTTGATATTGACCAAATTTTGACCGTATCACCCTTTATATTGCCTATATGAGGTCAATACTGGAATATTGCAGCATTGCATGGTCTCCTTTTTCAATCACGCACGAAGAAAGATTAGAATCCGTACAAAAACAATTTCTATTATACGCTCTTCGTAAATTAGGTTGGACATCATTTCCTCTTCCATCATATGAAGCACACTGCATGCTTATAAATATACAAACATTAAAAGAGCGTCGTGAATATGCAATGGTTTCATTTGTAAACGATATCGTTTCGCAGCGCATTGACTCCACAGAACTTTTATCAACATTAAATTTCCATGCACCTACTCGGCAACTCCGAAATCGAAATTTATTTGCCTTAAAACATCATCGCACAAATTATGCAAAATATGGGCCATTAAACCGCATGATGGCCTCTTACGATTACAATCAATACTGCGGCATGAACTAAAACAATATTTTTAGTCCATAAGGCATTATAACTCATAAAAAATAGGAAAGCTGACACTGCTTAATTTGTATTAAAGAAAAAATTATACTTTTAACCTTTTGTCCAAAGTTGACGAAATAAATTAAAAAAATTTAAGAAAACAAAACTATATTCTAATATGTACTAGTCTACGTTGGTTGACGATTTTTGAAGGGATAAATTTAAAAATAAACGTACAATATGATAGAATGCATCTATGTTTACCCAAACATATTGGAAAAACATCGTGAAATTTTTATTTTATGTGCAAAATCTGAGTGAGACTGACTGCATTAGTTTAGCACAGTATTGAACAGTAGAAAGATACAATGGTTCCATAGAACGCTATTGAATGATTCTGGATTTGTTCCGCTGGTTCCAGAGCAATATTCCGGTGAGTATGGGTCTTCATCAGATCAGAACTTTTCATAAACGTGCCAAATCCACCATGAGATAAATCAATTCACATGAGAGTTCAAAAATAAGACCAATAAGAGTCTGATGAGTGACCAGCACTATTTAGGCCACTCCCGAACTTGTTCCGGGTATCCCCAGGGAAGTGGAAAATCCTATTTAAATCAAAATCCTTCAAGCGATACATCAAATCACATGAGAATTCAAAGCCATATCCATTGGCGGTTAAACTGAGTATCGTAAGAACTATATGGGCCACATCCGGACATGTTCCAGATATCCTAGGGGAAGTGGACAAAATCTATCTTGAGACAAATCTCATGATGCAATGGGTTGTCTAACATTTCTAACATATTTTTTTCTAATGGGACTGACTTGCGGTTACTTTTCGCTGTGAGACAATTTGACTTGGTATTGTTTTTCATTTTTCTTGAACAAACCACCTTTTTTCAATAGCACATCTCAAAAAAACATAGAAAGATAAACTGAATAATGATGCTAACTCAAATTTAATAAAATTGCAGATGGGACTGACTTGCGGTTACCGGCAGTATACCTCTGACCAACAAATTCTGCGATCCACCTAAGAGCAGCCCGCGGTGGGTCACGACCCATAGATTGAGAAACGCCGCATTTGACCATTAGAGGTAGAAACTTTGTTTTTTTACCAAAGTTGTTTCAAATAACTTGTCTTATTATGCTGGTCTATCTCGATTAACTTAAAAGTTGATATTCAGTAATCATCAACCGTTATGTTTTATATATAAAAAGATTTGTAAAAATAAATCAAAAACTTTTCTGAGGACACTAATACCCGAATACCTAAAACAAATTATGTAGGCACAATTTATTCCATCTAAATACGACTTCTGGACCACTGTGCACTGCTAGTGGGATCCGGATTTCTTCAGTTCTACTGTTATGATTACGATGTCTTTTGCAGCAATTAATATGAATCTCAAAATGTTTTATGAAATACACATCACCAGCGGTGACTTTCCACATTCAGAAATTCACCCTCAGTTGTTCAATTGAAATGATCACAAGAATGTAAAAATAATGGAATCGAACACTTTCTCACTAGCATAAGTCACTACGTTGCGCCACAGAGCGTCTATGAACGTGTTAATGTTTGCACTGCAATCTGCCGCTTTTTTACAATGCTCAAACTCAAAACCAAAATACACAAACGAATGAACCCAATTATTAACATCACCACCACCACCGCCACCACCACTTTATAACCGGGCACCAACCTTCATAGTTGATCCGACCGTCCTTGTCGGCGTCCGCCAGTTCCAGCATCTCGTTCAGCTGGTACTCTGTCACATTCTCGCCGATCATGTCCATCGCCGATTTGAGCTCGTCACGTGTGATGTAACCGTTACCGTCACGGTCGAATACCCTGTTCGGATGAATTGAATTTCAACGACAACGAATGGAGAAAGAATTCGAAATACCAACCTGAAGGCCGCCACCAGGTCCTGCGTGAGGTCATCGTCGGCTGCCTGGGTGGTACTGTTGCTACTACTGCTGCCACTGCTGCTGCTATTGCTTTCTTCTTTGAGCGCCTGGATGCGGGCCACCCACTGGAGGAACTCGGTTTCGTCTATTAGTCCACTTCCTGGAATGAAATGAGGATAAATTGGGACAGTTTTTTGTTAGGGCTTGTTGGAATTGATTTTAATCTAGAAGATGGTGAGAATTACGACGCAAAAAGAGGCTTCCACCCCCTCCTCCAGGACGGAAAAAAGCTACGAACAATAAATCTTCCGATGGAATACCTTTGGCGTTAGATTATTAGCTTGGCTCAACGTCTCTCAATGAATTTTACCCAATTGTACGATTTTAAGCCCGCTGCTTAATGCAAAAGCAATAAAAGTTTATCAATATCCGTGAAAGTATTCCAATTGATGAAAAAAGAATTTGTGTGTTCCGCTTACGGTTCATAGTCGCTCGATTGTGGCTTAATTTATGCGTTTTCCAACATGCCAGCCACAGGAAAAATTCAGTCAGCGAACCACCCCCACCCAGCCAAGCCTACCAAAAGCAATGCGATAGAGATAGATCGAGAAGTAATAAAAAAAGAAAATGAAAACATTCCATAAATCTCGGAAGCTATGAGATTTATTACCGTGCGCTTTCCGTCGTAAATTTCTGGTGAATGCAATACCTCCCATTGCGTGCAGCAGTAGGGTCGATGTACCAGTCATGGCTATATGCTGTGTTCCAACTATGGCCTATGGGAATCCCATAGGTCATAATTGGAACACACCATAATAGGAACGTATAGCCATAACTGGAACACCCACCCTAGTTCGTTCGATATTATTTTTTGGCGGTCGGTTTTGTTCTTCTGTATGCTATCGATGGTACTATTTAGGAATATTTTATTTTTCTCACGCTTTCGTGCTTCGATTGGCTTATCAGAGCGTGGGGGAATTTTCCGGTCGTTAATGGCTTGATTAATTCAGAACGTCTTGCGGGAGAAAGGAAGGGGTTTTTCTATGTTTGGGAAAAGACATTCATAGGAAGCCGAGTTTCACGATGATGATGGTCAATTAGAATTGATCTCCTATAACGAAGATCATTGGGAATGACAGGAGAGTATGAAATATGAAAACTCGTTAGGTGCATACGAGTAACGTTATCCGGAATGACAGTTCCATTATCGTTTTTATGAACATATTCAGTGTGGAATGTCAATTCCGGCGATGGTTGCTTCTGAGCGAGATTTATTGCATAAATCATAGATAAAAAACTGCTACCGACTGTATCATTCAAACTTGCAGAACTGTTTGTTTATTTTCCACGTTTATAATTCGTTCAGCTTGAATAAATTTACTCAGATTGGCTCAGATAGGGAAGGGATGACAAAGCACATCACGATCCGAAAAAAAAAAGTTGATCATACATCCACTCCCGGAGGGGCTTCAACTTTCAACGACCAGCTTCGATTAGCTCGCACTAGGGTGTCCCTTCTATAGAAACTCCAAATTGCAAAATGATGGATGATGCCGTTAATATCACATAACTTTATTCTTGCTGGCTGCATCTACATCTAAACTAATAAAATAAATCAAACAAATATCCATGTGCATTTCACATGACTTTTATGTGATCCCATGATTGGAAATTGTACCACTATATAACATGAAGCTTATGTGTCCAGTGAAATTTATATGATTATTCACATATAATTGAATATGTTATGTGATATAGATTTGGTTGTTCGACTGGTTTTATGGAGATTTCGTTTTTATGGCTTTCTCAGTCTAGGGTAATTCAAACAGTTAGTTTTGCATTGCCCAAACTAACTGTTTGAATTACCCTAGACTTATGTGATATACTTATAAAAGTCACTAGTTTAGTTATTGGGAATATATTATGTGCGTTCCCAATAGAAACAATGTGAAAACTTGTTTCAGTGTAGTCTAGCTAACAATGTAAATGGTTTTAGAACATACGATTAACAAAGGGATTTGAGCTCTTTGGGTCTACTTGGCAAGGTTTACACAAAAATGCTCTATTCTGCTCAGTGACCTGGCTAGAAAAGTCTTTGCACAAACGATTTCAATTTGAGTACCTAAGTAGGTTTAACAAAATTCCAAAGTTTTTCATCTAGCTAGCGCATATTAGCTTATTGCATGCTCTCAACTTAGTGTTCTAAAAGCACTTCCACAGTTAGTAATAGAGATCTTTTGATGCCAATACCAATGCATGAATTTGTATATTGTGTGGCAAGCATAATGATTCGCTATGCCCAGGAAAGTCATTCCCGACCCGAAAAACTCCCTCGACCGGACCGGGAATTGATCCCGCCGCCTCCGGCTTGGTAATACCACGTCTTTACTGACTAAACTATGAGGCCGCTTCCGAGTGTACCAAATTCAATTTCAAATCAAATGACAACTATATTACAACGCAACTAATGAAGAAGTGCTATTTGTGACACTCTTCCCTGGATGTGAAGAATTGAAATTTTCTGATGAAACACATAAGTATAGAAGATAATGAGCGGTTAGCGCATATCATCGGTCATTAGCCAAATACATCCGTAGACCATAGGTCCACCGTTGTTTAATTGTAAATGTACCCGTATACTCACTAGGAAAATGTGGGTTCGAATCTCACCGGTGCACAGTGGGACGAAATCAAAAATAGTGGACATGACTATTTGCGGCGAAATCACCATTTTGATGTCTTCTGGAATGTTTCTTTATTTTTGAGTACTTTATTTGAGTGGTGAACATTTTCGATTATGGGAGATATACATTCAGATATTTTTTTATTATTTCTTGTTAAAATTGATGAACATCTACGAAAAAATCATCAAATGACTATAGAAACTTTGTCGAACACGATAATTTTCTATCTCTCAAGTTGACTATACTCGGGGTCACATTTGAAATGGAACACGAGGAATGTAACGAAAATGGGTAGATTTTCAAAAGCTTATTTTGCCGGAAAGACTTAGAAGTATGTGTTTTGGGTCATTTTACCCATTTTCTCCTATTTGCTGGAGAAAATGTTTTTTTAGAATGTTATTTTTCGTAAACTATTAGTATATTATGCATTTTTTATATTATACCTTTTTAAAACAGTTCATGAAGTGTTAGGGGATTCTGGGGTAGAATACATAGGGGATTATGAGGGGAAATAGGTTCCAATTTCTTAAAATGTCCAACGGTGAGATTTTGAGAGACTCAATAGATTGACCGCAGAAAAAATCAAAATATTTTTTTGAATGTTAAGGTGTATTGGGCTAAAATTAGCTATAATTTCAATGCTCTTCCTGGTGGCCATGAATGGGGTCTTTGACCAACTACCCAAGAACGTTTACATCTTCGTCTACGCGGATGACATCTTCATTGTAATGGTGGGTCCCACCCTGCAGAGGACGAAACTGAGAGTGCAAGCGGCAGTCTCCTCGGTGGTCAGATGGGCTGACTCTGTTGGTTTCCAGCTATCCGCCGGCAAGAGCGTGCGCTGCCATATATGTACCACCAGACATCGCAACAACGGACAGCCCATCATGATTAAAAAACAAGCAATACCGACCAAAAACATCGTGAGGGTCTTGGGAGTGCTCCTCGATGGGAATTTATCCTTTGAGCCGCACTTCCAACAAGTAAAGAAGAACTGTCGCAGTCGGTCCAACCTGATTAAGACCATCTCCCGTCCCCACCGATCGCGAAATCCGCTTCCGCGTAGCTCGAACCATCATCGACATTCGCCTACTGTACGGTGTAGAGATTACATGCCTTGCCGCCGAGAAAGCCGTCCGGATTCTGGAACCGGTGTACAACGGCTACGTTCGAACATTCTCCGGTCTCCTGCCCTCTACCCCGGCCGACGCTGCATGCGTTGAAGCTGGTATCCTACCTTTTCGGCTCGTTTTCACCGCAGCTACTGCTACCAAAGCCGCTGCTTTTCTCGCTAAAACGTCGGGAAACAACAGGATCGTTCTCCTCGACGAGGCGAACTGACTCCTCCGCACAGCCGCTGACGTAGATATCCCGCCAGTGGCCAGGGTCCACTGGCACGGATACAAAAGTTGGCAATCGCACAAGATCAAAATTGACAGCCGAATCAAGGACCGCTTCAGGGCAGGAGACAACTCGCTGGCTTTACGGCGGACAGTTGTCGAAACTCTCGGGGCGCACTACCAAGGTTATGAACTCAGGTACACCGAGGGCTCTCTCTCCAGGAGCGGAGTAGGAATGGGGGTCTTCTCAGCTGAGGCAGCGGCCATTCTCCACGCGGTTAAGTTACCGGCCAACCGGCCGATATTAGTCGTAACTGACACACACAGCGTGATATTGGCCCTAAAAACAGAAACACCGAAGCATCCGTGGATCCAAGGAACGGTAAAACACAATATTCATGTGGGTACTAGGTCATTGCGGGATCCAAGGGAACGTAATAGCCGACCACCTCGCCGGCTCAGACCACACCGGACCCAGGTCCACCGGCAATGTACAGCTCCAAGATGAAAAAAAGTGGATCAAGCGGACGATTCGGAGAGCCTGGGACACCGAGTGGAGGAATGACCAAACCTACGATAACAGCGAGTGGTGTCAAGGCTGCGCACCGGGCACAGCAGAGTCTCCCACAACACCGTTCCGGAGGACCTGTGAAACCTGCGGAGTGCCAGTCACTTGGAGCACATCGTCGTGAACTGCGCGGAGTTGGAAGACCTTCGGCTTGGAGTCAATCAGCATTCGGAACCTGTTGGGCGAACCTTTACCACAATATCCGAAGTCCATTTGCTTTGGCATTCTCGGTACAAAAAATGCTTTTTAAGAGTTGGAAATGGATTAAAGGATAAGGAGATAAAGGGACAATTTGGAAAAAGGGGAATTAGGTCTTTTCCTCGTCAACCACCAAGAAGGTTAGACATCGTTAACAAGTTATAACGAAAATTAATTTCATAGTGAAAGAGTTTATTAGGTTCACCATACTATAATAAGACATTAATAAGTAATTCACTAGTGGAAAAGAAAGTTAGTGGCTAGTGAAGTATCAGTGTATGAGAGCTTCACCTCTCAAGCTCGAGCTAGTTGCCGACAAAGAGGCCGGTGGATAGCCTACCCGATTTGTTCCCCGTGGCTCTAGATCAGG